TATATATATATATATACATATGTATACTCTAATAATATCAATAATATTTGTCGTAGCTGGTGAAGGCTTCAGTGTCATTCTTTACTGTTATGTATTCTACACGATAACAAGCTAATGTAAAATCAGATTAATTGAGAGTTTCATGACTGTAAATAATAAAAAATTAATAACATTTTGATACAACTACTTCATATTTTTAGAAATTAAAGTGTCTACGATTTAAATATGTATATTTATTAAAGCTATAATTTAAGGAATATAGAACATTTTAAATACGAGTATAACCAAAAAAACACAAAATATTTCAAATAAAATTTCAAATGTACGGTCCAATAAGATACTTATCGTTTAAAATAATTTAATTAAAGACATTAATGCACATTATGTTTGCAAGATATTAAAATAAGTCATATTGATCTAAATTTCAAAATAAAATTGTGATACAAATTTTCTCTCTCTCTCTCTCTCTCTCACTCTCTCTTAGTATTATTTCTTTATTTAATTCATTCTATTAAAGATATATTTAGATATTGAGCTATTACTTATAAGCAAAATAATTATTATCAGCGTTAATACTTTCAAACTTTCGAATTTTTTAATATATTATTTATAGAATTATAAACAATAGAAAGACATAATGATATTTTCCTGCTCTTTAATAAAAATAAGAAGAAAAAATTACATAATCATCAACAATCTGTGAAATACTTAAGACTAAAGGGACATTCTTCTTATAGATAAAGTTTGAGAGTACAAACAGAAATAACGAGCGTAAAAGTTTTAAGTGCTGAATACACTTGCGCAATTTTTTTCGTGGAAATTCTCTCACTAGCAACTCTTTTTTATGCGAAATAGAACATCTGCTGAATTTTATTAGTATTAAATATTGTAGATCGTGTAATAATAGATTTCATAAAACATATTATTAAAATAATATAAAACGATATATTACATTTTTTTTCCAATAAGTTAACTTTATTAATTATTATTATATAAATCTTTTTATTTCTAGATTTTAAAAGAATGTTGGTAAACTTTTCGAGATTTTTCGAACTATTGTAAATAAGTGAACAAAAAACAGACGGATTCTAGTGATCCATATTTGGATAGAGCACCAAATTGTTTATTGCACCTTATAAGGATTAATTCTCACTGAAAATATTAATCATGCAGATTACAATTTAAAAAATAAATGTATCGTATATTGATATAAGCGATAAAATATTTCAAAAAGTATTTTATTAGAAGTAGATATTAGAAAGAGAAAAACTTTAATTGCAGCTGGTTAAGTCAGTACTCACCTTACTGTTATGTACCTATCATATTCTATGCGATAATGAAGGTGATTCAATAAGTATTATATGATGAAAATGTAATTAATGTAATAATACTCAGCTTAAAAAATAAAAAGATAATTTTTTGAAAATTTTGTACAGCATCATATTTATAAAAAATTATTATAGAAGACATAGAAGAATAAATTATTGAAATTAAGATACTAGTATATCAAATTCTTGTGGTGCACTGAAATTATTTTTTGCAATACTTTAAATAAAATCAAAAATGCATATATATTTATTTTACTTTTGCTCCAAGTCCGATTTTTTGTGCACCTTGTTGTTAAACATTAAATTATATATATTTTATTTCATATCAACTTTTTTATACAAATATTTTAAATTAAAATTTCTGATAAACATACAGTAAAACAAAAACATACAGATAATAAAAGTATTGCGCTGTGCAATTAATTAATACATGAGTGATACACATCAAAAATTTACCTATAAGAAATGTAAAATAATATTTATTAAAATAATTTACCAAGCTAATGTGAAATTAAAGCTGCCTATTTATCTAATTCTAATTATTTTTAAATTATAATTTTACCAAGTAGTTCTAGTGTCGAAAAAATTAAAGTTGAAGAATGTTTCTGCCAGCAAGTGTAGTCGATGAGGACGCTTATCAAAATAAAAATTTCGATACTAAAAACAAAGAAACGCTTGCGTGAACTTTTTGTGTAAATACACGAATCTCATAAGAAAGACCGACAAATGATAACCTTCAAATTGCTGTCGACAAATCGATCGAGTAAATATTCATAGTTCTGAGAAATTTCTTTTTAAAGATATGATGGTCAAATATTTCCACTTTGAAAAAAGCAACGTAATTAAAATATTTTTTGAAACTTTTCTATTTCCATTTGAAACACTCTTTTGTATCATCAATTCTGAAAAAATGACTAGATTGATTACATGAATATTAATAATATCTATAAATTTTTTAAGTTTCAGTTTTTTAAGCCATACCTTACATATAGAATTATGCAGAAAACGTATTACAGAAAATGTATTCAAAAATAAAACTGTTTCTACGCTAAGAAAGAAGAATTATATTATCTTCGATTGAATCAGATTATCATCAGCAATTTGAAATGGTCAGTGATACTGAAGAAACAAGCACTTTCCTAAAAATAAAATGTATTTTATAAGTGCACAAATGTGAAGCGTATAAAATAGAGATATCAAAGGTGTTAAATAAGTTTGCGCAACTCTTCTACAGTTATCGCGCAAGTAAGTTTCTTAAGAATTTTTTTCTTTTTTATTATAATAAAGAGAACATCAGTAAAATTTCGGTATCATTTTATTCCATCAATTACTTAGTTAGTCATACATCGTATATTCCGAGAAACGCTATTAAAATGCAAGTGTTTCAATCTCACGGTAGTATCATGTGTTGTTTGGCATATACAAACGAAATTAAGCAAATTACAATAAAATCGACGTCAAAAGAAGGAAAGAATACTTGGTCGATATATGCAAGAAAGAGGGGATAAACACATTCTCTTCCTCCGCAGTCATATTTTGGAGCTCACAGAAAAATGATCTGCATTGAGACCGACTATTTTAGTCTTAATAAGACTCTTCTGCTCGCTATAGGATTGTGGCCATACAAACAATCAAAACTTATATGTCTTCAATTCATCTTTCTGCTCAGTGTTTTAATAAGCTCTATTTTATTTCAGGTAATATCTTAATATTATCATTATAAAACAAGTAATAATAAATTGATAGCCATTATTTGTTAACATATTTATTAACACATATAATATATATGTTTAAATAATAATTTATATATTTAAAAAAGATTATTATATACTATTAATATTGTAATTATTTAGATATAAGGCCTCTACCTATATTATATATTTAAAAGTTATCAACTTTAAATCAATAACATAAAATTATAATATTGTATATATCCAAAAAATTATATTTTAATACAAGCTTGGTAATACAATTATTGCTTTTAGTTAACCGCATTTTTAACTATCAAGGGTACTTCTGACCTCGTCATTAAGATTCTTTCTACTGCATTTTTCCTTATTATATATGTAATAAAATATATCTCGTTTGCTGTTAATATCGAAAATGTAAGTTGGTTATGACAGACGGTTACGTTCCGTTTGTGAGTAGGTTACTAAAAAATATATTTTTATAATTAGAAAATTTTATCAGATATATAAACTGAATTGTTGAACTGACAGGTAAAGTATTTACTGACAGAACTTCAGTATATATACAACGATCTAAAAGATGAATATGAAAACATTATTATAGAAAAGTATAGCTACAATGCCAAATTGTACACGGTTGTACTTACAAGTAATATAAATTTTTTATTGTACATCAGTACATTTTCCATTCCAGACGCAAAGAGTAATTCAATATTTTTATATGAAATTTATACGATAATCTTTTCGAATTTTTTCTAGTATTTGCTGCTTGTAGCATAATTACTTTAATTGTTGCCCAATTTTGGACGAGTATCATTGGCAACATTTTATCGAAAAACGTATCTCAATCTCGTAATCTATTTATTACAACGGAATATTTTATTGATCAAGAAAAACATTTTTATTTAATCGCGTTGCATACATATGCAGCTATTAGCATAGGATGTATCGCGACGATAGCAATAGGAGCGATGCTCGTAGCATATTTTCAACATATTTGTGGAATGCTTAGCATCTCAAGGTATAAAACAGACAAACCTACAAAAATTCTAATTATAAATAAATGTATATAATTATCTTGGATAAATCTACAGATTTTACTTTTAAAAAGCAAAAGAGATAATTTATATGATAAATGTATTCTTTATAGGTATCGTATTGAACGCGTAATGAGAATAAATATGCTTCAAAATTCCTTAAAAAACGAAAATTTGATATTTAAAGGAATGATATATGCCATTGATATTCATCGACAAGCAATGAAGTTAGTATTTATATAGTGTAATATTCATATACAGGGTATTAGTTCAACAAGTACGTTGTGTTTTAAACGGATTAGTTTCTGAAACACAGGTGAATAAAAAATATATGTTCGCAAATGTTTGATGAAACGGTAAATTGCGTTGGAAATATCTTCTGCATAAGTATGCCTTGCTTCACGTGAGTTACTATTCGCACAACCGTAAACAAAGTGACAAAGTCAAAGTCAAAATCTCCTAGGTCACCACACTTAAATCCTTTTTCCTTTGGAATTATTTCCTTTGGGGGTATCTGAAATCATTAGTTTATACCACCCCAATGAGAATGAGAATGATTTGAAGAATCGAATAGTTGCTTCATACGAGGTAATAAGTAACACACCTAATATCTTTGAGCGTGTACGTCAATCTTTGAGAAGAAGAATCGATGGATGTATCATGGCGAAAGGTGGACATTTTCAGCAATTCATTTAATTGTTTTATTTCATCAAAAGAACTGAAGCCTGTTTTTGTTTTTCTGTTTATGACTAGTTTTTGATTAGTTCTAGCTGTATTTCTTTCAAATGAACAAATTATTACTACAGGTTTAAATTTTTTTATTTCGGAAATTAAACCGTTTAGGACACATGTTTATATGGACTTTTTTACTTGAAATAAACCGAAGAATCGCTCTGTTAAGTATGGCAACATACTTAACTAACACCCTGTATAAATAATACAATAATATTTATTTGTGCTTGAAGATTATCTAAACTGATGGTATCTAAATTTGAGATAATGTTATTCTGCTTAATAGCAGTTGGAGTAATCTGTTTGAGCCTCAACCTCTTCCGAGTAAGTTTCAAACTTCTAAAAAAAGATTTGTACATTTACATGATATAATATTAGAAATTTATAATTTACTTGCTAATTAACTGCTATAGATGTTTCAGGAATTTTTCTTCGGATTAAAAAGTTTTATGTATAAATTTTATTTTATAATTATTAGTAATATTTATATTAATAATATTTTTTAAATATTTAAACAACTTAATGTATTCTATTAATTATTCAATTTAGGATTAACATTTAGAAGAATAGTGAGTTATGTTATCACATATGCAAATAATATTTAAATAAAATTTGTATTAGATTTTTCAGATTGATATATCTGAGGATAATGTCAATGAATTTCTATTTCCTCTTAAATTCATAATAGTCAGTATTTCATATATGTTTATTGCCAATTATATTGGGCAAGATATTATGGATCACACTAATCATATATTCGTTACTGCGTAAGAGTATTTTTTTATATAATATTATTATGTACAGAGTGTTCCACTTTAATTTTCACATCAAAATATTTGTTTTGAATAGAACTAGAAACTCGATTCCACACAAGAAACTTTATTGAATATATAATATCGTTACAAAAATGAAAACGAAAGAATGCGGACAAGGCAAGATAGATGATGAAGTGACGCTTTCTTTCCCGCGTATTTCCCTTAACTAACGAAAGGGCGCCTGTTCAATGTACGCAGTCAATAACTTTAGCCACATCGCGTTTATCATAATACGATCTCTGTCAATTGCAACAATATTTCAAAATATAATAATATAAAAAATACGAAAAAATATTTCATATAAAAATTTTATAATCTGAAATATACGAAATAATGGATTTAATCAATTTTTGATAAAAAATCGATTTTTCAGAGTCGTATAAAGGTTAAAGTCATTTCTATAATAAAGGTCCTTTAATAATATGATTACTCTAATTATTCTGTGCATAATAATGTTAAGGTACGATTATCAAACAATTAATAGTTTATAAGACATTTCTTACATTTTACGTCAAAATATGTCAGAATGATGTATAAAATATCTCGTAAACTATTGACTTTTAATATCTTTATTTTAGTATTTATATGCAATTTTATGTAAGTACGGAATTAGTAAAATTATATTATATAACAAATTCGAACAATTAAAATAATGATCATGAAATTCATTTAACTTTGAAAAATAAGTTTTTTCGAAAATTGGTTTTATTATTATTTGACTCTCTTTACATTATACAACTTTAATCTGAAACATTTTTTCGTATATCTAATATTTTTCAAAATATTTTGATGTAAAAAATGGAACACTTATATGTGTGTATATACGCGCGCGCACAGATACACGCGTACACATACATATATATAAGTATACATATATACATAATATATGTATAAAAATATATTTTAAAAGTGAATATAAGCATGTTATTTAGAAAATAAAATAAAAATAACATACTGAATATTGTTTATGTATTTCTTTCATTTTCAAATTATCGTTTTGTATCACAGATACAACGTTCAATGGTATACAGCTCCCTTATATATACAAAGTATTATACTCTTTTTGTTACAAAGAAGAGCCAAAAATTTTACTTTGAGTGTCGGTGGATTGTTCATTGGATCATTAGAATGTTTTGCAACGGTAAGAAAATAGTACATTAC